GTTTTAGTTTATTAATTAATTTTACTTTTCTTCTTCTCTCTCTCTCTCTCTCTCTCTCTCTCTCTCTCTCTCTCTCTCTCCAATTGTATAAATTAAAATATTCCTCGGTTTATCTTACTCTGGTTGGAATAATTTTCAGCTTGCCTTTTCTTTAATTAGCATTTTCCACTTCAAACGCAAATATTTAGACAAATATGCAAATTTATTAATTTTCCAAACACTTTCTTCTATTTCTCGTTTCAAATTACGATTCCTAACGAAGTTTGGAATGCTAACAAACTCCATTCCTTGCGATGAACAAAGTTTGGTGTTTCTCTTAAAAAAAAAAAAAAAAGCTATAATGTTTTAGCTGTAATATTAATAATCTCATTACCCTTCTTTTTCCTTATATCTTTCTCTTTGACAAAATTTATCAATTAAACGATTAATAGAATAATAGAATTAACAAATTTTTATAAATACAAAAAGTTGTTTCCTTTCAACGTTACAACAATTAATTTAATTTATATATTACTATTATATATTAATATAATTTATATATTAATTTATATATTAATTAATGTAATTTATATATTAATTTATATATTATTTATATTTTGTCACATTTTTCAATATTTTTGTACAAATGCACAAACACTAACAAAAAAATAATCATCTCTGCAGTGCAATAATTCCTTTCTTTAATTAATAATTTTAATTTTTCTTTCACATAACAGAACTCATTCATTGAAACGAATTACAATTCTATCTTCATGCTGGTTAACTTTCATTCCTATTCTATTTTCAACCATTATTTATGTTACCTATATCTAAACCAGGTATAACTTGCATATAAGTTATATCACATTATTTTAATAAAGAGGCAACTTTATCAATCAGAACAAATAGTTCTATTTAGAAATCCTTGAATTTCTTGTTTAACTATCATTTGTATTACTATTCATAAGCCAAAACTTGTGAAAAGGTTCTCACGTGAGATTCCAAAGTCTAAGAATTTAGGTTAGAATTTTCGAATTTTAAAATTTAATTAATTAATTAATCATTGTTTAAAAATATTGTCTTCGTCATTTTTATTGGAAACAGAATTTATTTTCATATTAAAGGAAAAATAATTTTGAAAATGAAGTAGTAAATAAAGCAGAGAGACGTATTTTTAACGTTGAATTCCCAAGCAAACAATTACCTCTTAAGCATTCAATTTTCTGTATAGAATAGAAACTTCGTGTTCCGCAATCTAAATGCAAAATTGCCAGCCAGTAAACGAAATTAATTTTCTATCGAATCTCATAGATAGCTGTGTTTAGCAATATTTCAGAAAACTTGAAAATTAACCAAATCGAAGAATATGTATAGTTTCACATATGCTTTCATCAATTCTTCCTTTGTAGAATTCTTTATTTTATGGAAATTATTCCAACTCGATAGGATTAAAATTTAATTTCGTTTACATTAATTTCCTAAGAATTATGACAAGTTTAATTCTTCTTTCACTCCACTTATTTTTAAATATTACTTAGTTTTCCATGAAATTGCTTCTTCGATGTGTTATTGTTATTACGAGTTTTCGAGTACGAACGATACACATTAACAATTGAAAAATTGTGGAAGCTTTGAAGGACAGAAAGCTTCGTTAACGAAACTTGATTAACAAAGAAAATTTTCACAATTATTGCAATCACTGAAATACACTGTAATTCACTCGAGGACTTGAAAATTAGTGGTTAAATTTGTTGTTGTTTGTATTGTCTCGCGTTTAATTACAGTGAACAGCATAAATAGACTTATAGTGCCATGGTAACTTGACACTCGGAGACTGCGGACGGTAAGCCACTTGCCTCACCAAACATAATATACACTGACATACGTATTGGTGGTAGTTAATAGATGTGATGAGTCCAGCCAATTATAAGAATGCGTGTGACCATATGTTTGTGTGAGTTGGCTTATCTCTAGATCCTATATTTTTTGCGAGTGTCAACTTACCAGCAACGTACAATACTTTTGAAAGATACTTCAAACCTGGACTCGTTTCAATCCTATTGATTTTAAAAATATTTTTACATATCATAGACAATAACGAAAAATTATTATTGATTTTGTATTACATATATATATTTGATTATTTTTAAATTTTCTTCTCGACGCAGAAAAATTCGTATATAATTATCTTATTGTTATAAGTTGATGAATTTCGGATTTCTTGATTTATGAACAAAATATTATCTCGAAAATAAGTAAGGATTGCAATCTTATGTGAAATAAATGAAATAATATTTCGCATATTATTCAAACAGATTAAATAAGGCAATATTTCAAGATCCAAATATTTTATTTTTAAAGTCATACGCAAAAAAAAAAAATCAGAATGAAATTACACGTTTCAACAGACTTAATATTAGTGTCTTATTTAATATGAAATTACATTTCAAAAAATGTAAGGATATAAGGATAAAATAAATAATACAGCATTTCCAAGATCCAAATATTTTCACTCGATGTATATTTTCTTCGAAATATTAAAATTTGTTTAAAATCAAACAAGATATTTCATTTTCAAAGTTATTCAAAATAAACACGACAAAATTATATCTTCCAATAGGATTAACATTAAACATGTCTCATTTCGCATCTCAGAAAATAAGAAGTAAGGATCTCAATCGTGTCGCGAAAGGATGAGACCGATTGACCTGGATCAGCAATGTGGGACGGATGTTAAATAAGTAATCGTGGTGGCTCGTGCAGATGGATCGCTATCGATCGTCCTGATTCATTATTTACGGTGTAATTCTAGTAGTCGTGTACTTGTAAGCTCGCCCTTGCCACCGTTCCTCGATCACGACATTGCTCGGAAGTCGTTTCTCTAAGGAGGAGGATGGATATAGGGGGTAATGGAAACAAGTTGTCGAAAGGAATCGAGTATAGTTAGACTTTGTAAAGTATTTTGGGAAGAAGAATGCGACATGGGTGTTTGCCGTCGTCACGTTGGCTGCCGTGCATAGATAGGCGAAATTGAATAGTTGAGGTTAGGAATAAAATTAACTTCGATAATTTATTATTCAAAGCATAACCACAATTAAGTAAGAAGAATTATAGGAAGGATCAATTATAATGGCTATGAATAAATTTTAATAAATAATCATTTGAATTTTATTCGAAATTTAGTTTAATTATAATGCTAAAAGAAAAACTTAAACTTGCTTTGTTTTTTTTTGTGAGATGCATAAATTTCAATCAAATGATTGAAACTTTAGTAATTCTTTTATACTCGATGTTGCATGTATTGTATTATTTCAGTCAGTTTACTTAAATAAGAAAATAATAAATATGATTGTTTTCAATGAAAAATCAAAATTCAATTTTGATATTATCTTCTTTAAAAAAATAAAAATGTTTTATCATTTGATGATAATCTATAAATATCTAAAAGTGGAAATTTCAAATATAGAAACTGATTAAATATTTTTCACTTCATGTTTCTTTTCTTCTTTAAAATATAATAAATTAAAAATTAATAAATTACTTCTAATAGAATTTTACATATGTCTCAATAAATTTTTCAATAGTATTAAAAAAATTATAACAATTCTAAATCTATAAAAAAATCTAAAAACTATAGTTATCTTTACCTATTTCTTTACTTCTATTAAACTTTTAATAAATAGATTAATAATCAAAATTTATTTAAAAAATTGATTATTTTTAATCTGTAAATATTAATTTTTAGCCAAAATCTCTAAAATCAAATCACAAAAAAAGCAAATCCACAAAAATTGTTATAAAACATAATCTATATCCTATTAATCTCTAAAAAAAATTAAAACCAGAATATTTATATTCATTATCTTTGTTCCTTAATATTAAATTTACACTTTCAATTGAAATAAATAAACTAACAACAAAAATTTATACAATTCAAAATCCAATAATCTCAATTTCATTCACTTTCACTTATCAATTTACATTTCATACATAAAGAAACTAAGAAAGTCCAAAATCCACTATCAACATAAATGATACACGCATATTTGAATATATAAAATTATGCAAAATAGGTAAGCTAGCGAGATTTATTATCTTTCTGGTCCAGTTATTGCGTCGCGCCATACATTTGCCTATATCACTGTTCCAGTGAAAATCGGTTGACATTCGCCTTACGTATAAGGTTGTCGCGTTTCCAAGATGTATAGCATCGCCGATACACTTCGTCAGAAATAGAATAGACTCGTGGAGTTTACAAGGGGGAGAATATATCTCTGGCATAATCTGTATTCTCAGAGTTGAACGAGCAAACCGTATGCTGAATCAATATTGATAATGCGGCAGAGGGTTAGCGTATTGTCTATGTTCTTTAAGATGGATGGAATAACGTGGCTGTAAATGAGTACTAAATTCATTTTGCGTTGAAAAAAAAAAAATATTGAGGAAATGTTTTGAATTCTTTTGGAAATGATATTTTTTACTTTTGGAATAATTGAAACTTGGTTATGAATGAATTTTCATGTTATATTTTGGATATTTTGGAAATTATATTTTTATTTTGGAATAAAAAATAGTAATAATTTAAAAAAAAATCTTTTTATTGGATTTTTTTATTAAAATTTAATTTGGATTCTTTTGGAGTAAATAAAAATGTGACTATAAATAAATGTTGCATTATTTTGGAGTGAATTTTGTTCGAGAAATGTATGTATAAGGAAACTTTTAAGAAAAATTATTGAATATATTCCTTTTGAAAATTATATTTTTATTTAGAAAAATTTATCAAAGAAAATGCAATCACTTCTCTTTAAAAATTGTATTTTTTCCCCCTTTTTCTTTAAATAAATTTAGGAAAGACAATTATTAGAAAAATTAGTTTCATAAAAATGTAATTTTATTTTTTATCAACAAATCCTCCAATACAAAAGTTCTTTTACCTTTCTCAAGCCTTCATACTTACTAATAGTAATTTTGTGCTAATAATAAATAATATTTAAAAATATAAATGCAATTATCGATTATTCAAAATAGTTTGGAACAAAGTTTGATCAAAATTCTAACATGTATATAGATATTTAAACAAAAGAATAAAATTATTTTAAAAAAAGAAAAAGCAATTTTGTAATCGTGTAACAAATACGTTAATTGAAATGTTAAAAGTAGATCATAATCTGGTAAGCAGTTTTTAAATTTCGTATCTCTCGCGAAGTTTTGCAGATTCTCCGTTATTAAAATTCGCGTTATTTATAAATCAGAAGGAACGTCACACGAAAAAAAAAAATCAAATTAAGAAGTTGCAGAATGCGCATTACTTTAATCCTCTAAGAGCTTCCTCCTTAATATATGTCGTCGAGTTACTAAATTTGCATTTTTAATTTCCTCGTTGATATTTCGTCATCAGATATCATGATGAGATTGTTCGTGACTCGTGAATTGATCTATTTATTAAAATTTTACGTAATAAACGAGCCATTATTAATTTGAATTGGATTTAAAACCTATACAGTTAACCTAACCTAATTTAACTTAACCTAACCTAATATATCTAGATTATATAAGGAAAATTAATTAATGAAAATTATGAAAATATTTAAAGGATTATAACAATATTGAACAAGATTGAAAATAAATTTCAATTTTTATAGAAATTTGACGAAAACAAATTGGATAAAAATTTTAGTTATCTTTTTTTTTTTTTTTTTTTTTTTGAATTTGACCTACATTTGTTTTTACTATTTCATTCCATTCCACTATCGCTTAAACTGTTTAAAGTTATTAAAAGTAAAATCATTCGATGAAGGATCTATTCAAATCCATTCAATCCACGATTCAATATCGTTCCAATATCTTTTTTCCTACAAATTCAATACATATTCATTTTATTCATTTTACCAATTAAATAAAAATGTCGGCTATGAATTCCAACTCGTCCATACAAAATTGAATCAATCAGTTAATCATTTTCATCGAGAGGAAATCGATCAAAATCAATATTGTAATGACGATGAATCAACGAAAATAATTTATGTCGCTGAATCGCGTAATTAAATTTTTAAATCCTTGAAAAAGAATGTTGATACGTTCAATCGTGTTTAGAGGATCGATTCTAGAAGTAAAAACAAATAGAAAAGTTGGTATACGAGAATGTCAGTCGAGGCTCATTTATGAAGTTATAGGCGATTTAAGTTTGTGTTAGACGAAGCGAGACGAACATAGAACGAGACAGCGGTGCGATAAAGATAGAATTATCTTCTCATTCTATTGCTTTGTAACTTAATAAAAAAAAAAAGTATTAACCGATATTTTCGTATATCAATTTTTGCATTTGTTTTGATCTTTAAAATCAACTTACAAATATATTAAAAAAATATTGCTAATTAGCTTTGAGATAATGAAGCTTTAAATTCTGAAATTCTAGGAAAAAATAAATTTGTAAAAAGTGAAAAAATTTCTCGTACTTCATTGCCAATTATCTTTAAATTTTTATAATAGATATTTTCATACTAAACTCTTCAAGATGTTAATAATCTGGATATAAAAAATTAATTAAAAATTATTACGCCTTAATTTCAAGGCGTTGAAATTTTAAATTGTAAAAAATAAACTGATAAAATTGATATCACATTATCGATATCGCAAATGTATAACAAGCATGCAAATAATTTTACAAAATGATACATTTATTAAAACGAGGGGAGCGTGATTGTGAACTATTTTCTTTTCTCCTTTTTTTTTTTTTTGGCCGCAGATCCACGCAATCGAAATCCGTCCAATTAAAAAAGCAATATCGTTCGTCTCACTATTCAATCTTTTTTTGTTTTATTCTTCTTTTTTTTTTTTTTTTGATCGAGTTGTCTATATGAACAAATAAAAATGGTGAATCAAAGTGTACTATCGAAATTGATAATTGTTAATAATTGTCTGAACTTTGTTAAGTAGATCATCAATTTTATATGTATTTTTGTTAAAAATACGTAATGCAATAAAATATGTTATGTTATTAATTAATAATAGCATTTTATCGAAATGAACATTTGTTTACATTAAATTTAATCTTCCGTCGGTAATATGATTTTTTAGTACCATAACTATTTGGATAATGGCTCTTTCATTCTTTAATCTAATTTTTTATTTTAAAGTTTTGAACTTTAAAAAAAATCTGAAACGATTCTGAAATATTTGTCGTAGTCGCCAATTTATTATACAGAGTAAGATACTTCGAATATTTAAACGTTTTTACGTAATGAAAATATCACCTGAAACTCGGCGATCCATTATACCGGCTGAGGATAAATTAAAATTTTTCATTATAACGTCAATTGTGAACATAAAAGTGTTATAATTATTCAGAAAATCACATAAAAGACTCTTTAAATATTTCTAAACTCATGACACAATAAACTTTCTTCGATGTATCGTAGGTTTTTACAAGATCATTAAAAAGAATCACTATTTCTACATAAAAAAAAAAAAAAAAGAATTCATTATACAATCACCTCATTACAATAGTATAAAAATAGTTGCTCAAACATCACGAGAGAGGAGAAAGAGAGAAAAAAAAAAGAATTCGCACAAATATAAACCGAGATATGAAAACGAGGCCGCATGCATAATAGAATCGAGTCGTTTGTAAACGTACCTTGTTCGCTTTTGCCAAACAATCCTTCAACATTGAACGATTTCCATTACCTCCTCGACACTGAAAAAGCTCGCAATAATTTCAATAATTCTTTCGATCTCTGAAAAATATTGCCAATTTTTCACATCATCACAGTTCAAAAGAATCGTGAAACGAAAAACAGACAGAATTATTCGCCCGGTTAGAACGCGGTGATAATTTCAATATGGCGGAGTGATCACGTGACTGAGAACAGCGACGCCGTAACCGTACAATAATTCGAATTGTTTTAGCGTATGCGGGATCCAACACTTCCAGAGAGCTGGGCACAGGCATCTAAATTTGTTCCAAAGCACATACTACGTTGTAGTGACATTTTCCACAGTTGGTTACGGTGACTTTGTACCTGACATTTGGCCCTCCCAACTTTACATGGTCATTATGATCTGCGTTGCTCTCATCGTTCTGCCCACTCAGGTACGTGTTCCATTTTGAATTCTTTTAGATGAAAAGTTTTTATGTATATATACTTTTTATATTTAGTTGAAATATTTAGTTCAGTTTATTATACTCTTTTAATAAGATATCCTTGGAATTGAAAATATATTTTTCATAAATGGTTAAACAATATTTTTCAGGATCTTTTGTGTTTATAAATATAAGTTAAAAAAAGAAAATTAATTAATCAGAGATTAAAGAAATTAAATAATTCCTATAATTATTTAATTGAAATGGAATTAATTATGTGATTATAAAAAATATGGGAGTAAAGTCGAGAAATTTGAAATTAAATATTATATAATTATTTAATGCTTCTTATAATTAGATTTAATAATAAATAATTAAATTAGAAAAAATTCTCGTAGATTATACTCACAGTACTTAACACAATTTTGTGTTTTTCAAAGTAAATATTCGATTATTTGTCACTTGAGAAGCATCATGTGACACTTTATTTCTCTTTTAGTGACGATGTTAATGATGAAAATGGCGTTCTTCGACGATCGTAAAAGTATTATCGATTCCCTCGAGATCTTTATCTGAAAATCCTGAAGACCGATCATGGCGAGAGAGTTTTAAGTGCAAGAGAAGTTAATTAACTTTATTTGACGTCAAATAAACGTTATATGAACAAAATTCTGTGAAATAAAATTTCAGTATTTTTATTTTTGAAATATTGTGCAAAATAAAATTGCTCTTACTTTAGTGTTGAAATTCTGCATAAATAAAATTCCACTATTTTTTATTGCAATTCTATAAAAATAAAATTCCATTAATTTAGTATTGAAATTTTGCAAAATAAAAATTTCCATTATTTTGATTTTTATAAAATTCTATATAAAGTATACTACATTTGTACATTTTTAATTCCAAAATATTCAGAAATTTATTTAATTTAATTTAAACTAAAAATTAAAATTTTTTATACTTTAGATAAATAATAAAATAATCACTGGAAGTTTTAAAAATAACAAAATTCTAAGGTTTAAAATTCATAAAACATTAATAATTTTTAATACAACACGTATATACATATATAATTTCAATTGCATAAAGTATCTATGCAACATATTCTAACTATTTCTTTAATTATGAACATAACTATAAATGAAAGACGCAACCATTCATTAATGATTCAAAAATGGCTTCATTCCTGCAATAAACCCAGGAATACATTATGCTACGTACGTAAAAGCGAATAATATTGTATGCAAATTTTATCGTCACCTCCGTTGTCAATAATTTAGTAAAATTCCAGTTTATTGCGAGCAATGTAATTAATTCTGGTTGTCGAGAAACGCTTAATTAAATCCCTTAATGATAGAATGTAACCCAAGCACTGCCTTATCTCACTTGTTGACCGAGATCATTGACTAATGACAGTAATCAAAGGGTAAGCTGTCGATCGATGGCACTGATTGCAATAATAACAATAACTCTGCGATTCATCTATCAGATCTGTCGATACCAATACTCTGATGAAAAGAAATCTTAGGATACACGAGTAGAATAAATTAAATCTTTTGAATTAATATCGAATCTTCAAATTTTTGAAGAATTTTTTCAATATCTCTTGGTCCCTCAAAGAATAATTTTTACCATTTCTTTTTTTGGAATGGTATTATACAATTCTCAATTTTCGAATATTCGGGAAATTTGATGATGGAAATAAAAAAAATCGAGGCTATAAAAATGTCAGAAAATAGATAAATTTAGCAATTTTTTCACATTTTTATACGTCAAAATTAATATTAAAATTTGTATACGTCAATTTTTTTTTTAATTGCAACGTACCATGTAAAATATCTTTTTTAAATTTATTACGCGCGACAAAAATTTTCACTCCTCATCATTGTTAAAATAAAATAATAAATCTTCATTTTATTATTTCATTTTGACAAAGAGATGGCTAGTAAATAACTAATACGAAGATTTATTTATATGCGACAGTTCGAACAGTTGGCATTCACGTGGATGGAAAGGCAAAAACTAGGTGGCTCGTATTCCTCGCATCGAGCGCAAAGCGAGAAACACGTGGTGGTATGCAGTACAACGCTGCAAGCCGACACTATCATGGATTTTCTAAATGAATTTTACGCCCATCCCCTTCTACAGGTGAGAAATTTGATCGTCCAACTACTCTTCACTCTCGATTTCTCCGCTTCTCTCTGTCTAACGTTTTCAAAATTCACAAAATCGACTTTAGTAATTCCTCGTATCGTGGACTTGAACGCTCTATAAGACGTAACCAACTTGTAATAATAATACGAATGATTTTAAAAAATTTTCGTGTTTTTTAAAAATCTGAAATCTAATTCTAACGTTGAATAAATTTTTTGAATGTATTTGTGATAAAACTCGTAGGATTATTACGTTGTATTGTTGTCACCCATGGAGTTGGACACCACGATGAGAATGATTCTTCAAGTGCCCATTTGGGCGCAAAGGGTAATCTATATCCAAGGATCCTGCTTGAAGGATAGTGATCTCACCAGGGCAAGAATGAACGAAGCAGAGGCTTGTTTCGTTCTTGCTGCAAGGAATTACGCTGACAAAACCGCTGCTGACGAGCACACGATACTTAGGTTAGTTTCGAATAATCGTGATAAATAAAATTTTAATTAATTTCACGAAGAAAAGTAAACATATATAATAGGATTATTTTTACCTAAAAAAAAAATAAAATAAAATAAAATAAATGAATTATTATTTAATATTCGAACGATGGACAACAGATCGTGGGCAGTGAAAGATTTTGCACCAAACGTTCCTCAATACGTTCAAATCTTCCGTCCGGAGAACAAACTTCACGTGAAGTTTGCAGAGCACGTGGTATGCGAAGATGAGTTCAAATACGCCCTTTTGGCGAATAATTGCACGTGCCCTGGTGCTTCAACCTTGGTTACTCTTCTACTGCACACTTCTAGAGGACAGTGAGTAGAGGAATGAAACGTGACAGATAATTTCTGACCGAGGATAAACACGGATTAATTCACCTTTTACAGAGAGGGACAGCAGTCGCAGGAAGAGTGGCACAGGCTGTACGGTAAATGTTCCGGGAACGAGATTTATCACATTATTCTAGGGGATTCTCGATTTTTCGGCGAATACGAGGGCAAATCCTTCACTTACGCCTCCTTCCACAGTCATCGCAAGTACGGAGTGGCGTTAGTCGCGGTACGACCAGCGGAACTTCCAGAATTTTATGAAGACACAATCCTCTTAAATCCTGGTAAGTTAACAATCTAACATTTCCATCTATTTTTATCTTTAAAATTCACGAACTAACAAAATACTTACACACGCACATTTATATATCTTATTAAAAATTAAAAATTACTAGTGAAACTTTTAAGATAGAAAAATTTTCTCTTTTATCTCGAAAGTATGATTCGGAACTATTCGGAAAAATTCGGACAGATTCGGCCGACATCTCGATACTCTCGTATATTCGCTATCTCGAAAGTTTCGTTCGCTCTCTCTCGAACTTTCCCGATTCGTTCCGAACTTTCCCGATTCGTTCCAAAGTTTCGAGCGGTAGTAATCTAGCGCGTTTTTAAATAACCCACAAACTGGCACATCAATTTTCTCATCGCCAAATCCTAATCCATTTTATTTCTATCAAAGGTCCACGTCATATAATGAAGAAGACGGACACCTGTTATTACATGAGCATCACGAAGGAAGAGAATTCGGCGTTCGTGGTGGCGAACAATCAAACTGGTAGTGGGGCCGAGGGCGCGCAAGTAGTCATTGAAACAAAGACAGACGGAAGTGGAAATGCGAACAACAACTCGACCAGCAACACGACCAATAATATCACAACTACGATGAATACCGGCGCTGGCACAACGACGACCACGACCACCATCTCGACCAGCTGTACGATCGCCGGTGGTGATGGGAACGGTACTGCAAACAAGCCTGGTGCAAACGAGCACCATCGTAATTCCAACAATTGTAACAATGTGCTGAAAGAAACAGCTTGCTGCAGACAGGAGACGACTTGCACGGGGCCCCGTGGACAGAGCGTGCAACAGGGCACGCAAGCACACAGGGCCCCGCAGGTTATTTTGCAGGTCCTTCCTAGCACGCCCACACCACTCGAACACCACAACATACTCGCATCCGATGTCCACCGTGAGTGTCGCATGCGCTTGACCTTATTTTTCTTTACTATTTTACTACTTTACTAATTTTTATATAACATATATATATAATAATTCATTGTCATTATTTTTCTTCTCTTTTATCTTATTTGCAATACATTACATAGCTGTGCGTGCTTTCATATTATTCCTTTTATTTATTTTTTTCTTTCTATTATTGATGAAAAATTTGATTTGCGAAAATTTTTCGTACAGTAACTTGGTGGGAAAGTTTGGATGGTTCTTGGTGACTCGGTAAACGTATTTTATAATGAATATTTCTTGAGGGAAAATCGAGTTGTTTGAACTTGGATAGTTGAGAAATTTGGTATATTGTAATTTTTGTATCGTTATTAATAAATTATTATGTGTAAAAGTATATTCGTATAGCGAACGAGACACGATAATGTAAGATTAAAGAAAATTTTATAGTTACTAAATTAATAATATATTAGACATAAATGTTTGGAATTTATATTATACGATTTAATAATTTAATTTTATTGATTGTTAATTGAGCATTTTTGTTATAATGCAGTTAATTTACAATTTTGCATGCAATAGATCAAAATTTATATGTATGAAAGTAATAGAAATAAGTTTCAGATTATGAATTACTATTTTCTTCCTTTGAATAATTAATTTATTATTAAAAGATATATTTATTTTTTAATTTATTTTTGCTTGCGCTATATTATCAAGAAAAATAACAGTTAAAATTCTTATTAAAAGCTTGAGAGCATGTCTTTATTGATGCAAGAAGTGTTTTTTCCCTTGTAGATGCATGTTATTGTTAAAAGATATGCATGTTTAGAATTTGAATTTGCATATACGAAATTTTTTATACAAATATAAATGGATTTTGATTAACAAAAGCCTAATATATATTTTGTGTGAGCCATTTACTCGAAACTACGGTGGATATCAAAATTGAAAGAAATTTCAAACGTTTAATATCAAATAAAATAAAAATTAACTGTTTTCTATTTTTTGTTTTTTTTTCCTATATAAACAAATAAACATTATTTTAATTATTGATTATAAAATGGATTAAACAAACTTACACATTACAAAACATTATACAAGCATTATACAGGTGGGCCTCAACTTGCAAATAATCTTCAATTAAAATAAAAAAAAAAAGAACTATTATTATTTTGCATTATGATTATATTATTGCAATATTATGTAGAGATGCAACTATTTAAAGATGCAACATTTTGATCTATTATTAAATACAAAATTAAAAAAAAATTATTTTAAAAAACGTATCATGAAGAAAAAAAAGAATATTAAGTTTATCAAGTAATTTAAAAAAATTCACTCACAATTTAATGCTATTTTTAATACAATTTTTTTAGGATATTAAATATTTTTATATTTCTCTTTTTATCATAATAATCATAAATTGCTATGAATTTTTCCATATTTTTAGGAACAAAGTCTAAAAAAAATCTTTAGTAATAGATATCTAATTTCCTAGCAACCTATCTAGATCCAGGAGGATTCGGTGATTCGAGACAGTGTTTAAAGGATGGAGGATCTACACCACAGACACCAATAACCGGAAACCATTTGGACGTTCCACGATCCATTGAACCGAATCCCAACCTACTCAGTCCCGAAATTCTTACCCAAAGAAGAGGTGAATACAATTAAATTAATCTTACTTAACACGCTTAATTAAATACAAATAAATACCAGAATATAAAGTAGTATAAGTCAGTTATTGCAGACATTCATTCGCACACATTTCAGAATTTTTAAAAAATAAACAATACGTATTGATAAAAAATTTTTAACAAAATATAAAATGTACACAAATATATATGTATTACCAGATGAAGATAACATCTTGTTTCCTCTATCAAAAGTGACTCAATTTCTCTGTGATATTTAAGTTAAATTTATTAGAAAAATACATCTCACTGCTATGTTAAACAGAAATATGTGTTTAATTTGTCGAATTAAGAGAAGAATATATGATGTCATATTATCTTCATTGCCACTGTTTATTTAAATAGAGATTTATCATGTGATCAAGCCAAAGCCAAGCGTCGCATTGTGTCATGTGACGTCATTGCTATCCCCACTGCTATTATATTAGAATGAGATCACGTAATCAAACTTCTGCCAATGTCAAGCATTATATTATATCACGTGATGTATCTCTGTCTACAATATGACGTCACATATCCTTTTTTTTTTTTTCTTTACAGAAATTCACCAGAAGAATGAATCAGACCTTTTTATTAATTTTAATAATTAAAAGAAGTATCGTTTTATTTTCATCTGTGCAAAATATACAAATGTCCTTTTTTTTTTTTTTTACAGAAATTCACCAGAAGAATGAATCAGACCTATTAATTTTAATAATAAAAGAAGTATTGTTTTATTTTCATCTGTGCAAAATATACTGTAAAATATAAAATTTTATATATAATCTAATAAAGTGTGTGATTTAAAATATTTTTATTGAAATAAATATATTATGCAGGGAGCAGAAGACCAAGCATCTTACCAGTCCCAGACATGTTGACGAGTTCAACCCTGCATCTTCCTGGTCAAGAGTCATTGGATCACGAGGGTGACGAGTCGGAGGACGAGATGGATGACGACGTTCCTTGGAGATCGCCCAGCGAGAAAATAGCGTGAGTATGATCACTTCATGGCCACCATGCCCATCTCACGTCGTTTTCCATCCAAGGATCGAAGGTACATGATCACCAAATATATCCTTGATAGAACTCTCGAGGGCAGCGTGGAAGCTGACGATCAAAGGCGATATAATGCTCGTTATAAATTTATAGATACACTTGTTAGACGAGAAAGCTGGCTCTTTGATTCAATCTCTTTTTGATCTATGTACTGGAGCACGATCGTGACAAGTCCTGTACGAGTGAAACAATCTTGCACTTCTATCTCGTGCACTTGCATGGCACGGTCTCTTTTTTTCTTTCTTGTGTAAACTATTTATTCGTACATATACACATATATATATATATTTACTTCCATAAATATCAGGTGAATGTATTATTTTTGTATTTACATTTTGTTTTTTTCTTCTTCTTTTCTTCTTTTACACTTTTAATATTGTACATATTATATCTTTCTATTTTAATTAGTTTCTAGGAAAAAGATTATTGGCTGTCAACCATTGTCCAAAGTATATTTTATTTTTGTATTGCATACATTACTGTTGGAAGTTGATTAATTGGCTTAATTGGAAGGTAACTCGAAAGTCAATTCTACTTGATGACATTATTTATTCAAATAAGAGAATATAAAATTCACTTCATAGATACATATGATACGAGAATGTATCACGCATATTTTAAAAGGAAAGTATGTTATGTTAAAATGATTCTTACTTAATTAAAAAATATTCATTCTAAAATAAAGTATACTTTATAGATTTTAACGTTTAATCTCGAAACGACCTGTAAACGATAATCTGATTCAATTTACAATCAAGCGAATGAAAATCTGCACGATCCTGCCAGTCAGTATCCACTACCAGCCACGCTGTGGGAACTGCATCGTGCTCGTCCTTCTTTTCTGCACTCTTAAATTGTTTTTTTTTTTTTTTACTTCCCTACTCCCTCGCTATCTAATATCTTAACAATCTCAAAAATGAAAAATCAATCTTTTTTATCTTGCCAAAATTCTTACCCAAAATTTGATCTTTCGACACTTTCATTCGACTCTACTACGAGCAATCAAATGTAAAAAACGAAATTCATCGAAAAGAAATTTCAATCGAGTTCAATTTTTTGCTCCAAATTTATTCGGGAACGAATTTTATTTTATTCTCGCTCGACACAAGGCGTGTCAAATTTCAAGCGAAATTCGTTTTCTCTCTCTCTCTCTCTCTTTCCGGAGAAAAATTTCTATCCGGACGAAAAGTTCGAATGTCGGTGACAAGAGACGGACAGGTAAAAAAAAAAAAAAAAAAAAAAGTAACGAGAAGGTCGATGTCACGCCCCAGCCTGTCATTCAATCATCCCCGGAATACAATTGAGCGCAAAGTTTACGTTTGATGGTCGGTCTGTCCCTGAATGTACCTCTGATGCCTGTGCTAATCGGCGCGTCGATGGTGTTGAATCCTGCTGCTCGATGCTGTCTCCTGCCTGACACCTTATATGTCCTCAATGGATGTTTTCGATGTCTTCCTTCCCGCATCGTCTTTATGCACTACCGTCTTCACGCACCACCTTTGCCCAGCAGTTTCAAAGGGTGAGTTTCACGTTTCTTTTTTTTTTTACGCTTTACGTAATACAAAAAAAACTGTCGTCCCATCGCCTGTTGGGAGAGAGAACATTTGGGGGAAGATGGAAATCGAAAATTGGAATAGGAATCTTTCAAATCTCCACAAGATTTTGTCTTATTTAAATCTTGGATTAAAGTTAGGTTAGGTTAGATCAGCTTTGGGAAAAGATGGAAATCGAAAATTGGAATAGAAATCTTTCAAATCTCCACAAGATTTTGTCTTATTTAAATCTTGGATTAAAGTTAGGTTAGATTAGATCAGCTTTGGGAGAAGATGGAAATCGAAAATTGAAATAGAAATCTTGAAAATCTTGTGGAGATTTGAATGTTGATCTTCTTGGATTAGAGTTAGGTTAGGTTAAATCAGCTTGTATTTAAAAAAATTTCGTAATTCTTTCTAACTTTTGTAAAGCATATGTTTAGGAAAATATGTTTTATTAAGTATCACAATAATAGTACAAATGTTCTTTTAAAAAGGATATTAGATATCAAAGAATTAATTTATAATTGTTACATTTAGTTAAGTTGATCTTAGATTTTAGAAATTAAATAATGGAAGAAAGTAAGTGAGAAATTAAAGTTTAAATTGGATATTAGAAATTGTTTTAAATGATATAGATCCTTCTTCGTGAAAGTTTTATGTAATATTTTGATAGCAATTTAATTGAGATATTGATACGTCGATGACAGGGCCATTTGTTTAATGGACTAAAATTTAAATTATCCACGTTAATATTAATCAATCTATACAAAATAACCGCAAGAAATATAAGTAATTTGAATTACCTATTATTATTATTATTATTATTATTTATATCTAATTTGACTAATGTTAAGTAAATAATGCAAGAGTAATACAATCAAAACCTATAAATTTTTAAATTTGCATATCAATGTATATCTCGATTAATTTAATTTAAAACATCATGCAATCGTCTAAATCAAATTCAATTAAAATTCTATAGAAAAAAAAGGTTCACAGTTACGAGTCGTTATGTATGATAAAATTAACCTATGTCATTATAACCTATATTAAGAAAAAGAAAAATATTCACCAAAACTTTCCTCATGTTCAAGTTTCTATCCAGAACAAAATTTTCTTTATATAAAATTCTTTCCTTTTTAATACTCTTTCTTCACTTATATTGTATTAATAAAAAAAAAATCGATTTTCGACGATTCCAAACATTCTCTCTCTTATTTCCCATAATTCAATAGACAAATGCACTACCTTGTCAATTACCTTAACTGAAACTGAATATATAATATATAAATATATATATATACAAGGAGAAATTAGAAGGTGAATTAGTCTATATTTTAAAAGATTGATTTTTGTAGCATGCACACGTCTTTTAGAAAAATGTGATCGTGTGAGATACGTGCGAAAAGGAAAAATGGCGGAGTAAGTTGACAAAAGAGGTCGCGCGAATACACAGCTTACTAGGAATTTATTAATTAACAGATCATTCCCAGTTCTCCCATTTAATTCCACCCTTTAAATTATTCGACGTTTGGAATGAGGTCTGGAAATATCCAAGTTCCATATTATCGAAGATGAACGAAGTTATGAAAATTTTGAGCGGAAATTTTCGAGTGATCGGTTCAGAAATATGTTTGTCAGGTATTTCGTTGTAATACTCTTTGATATTTTTTTATAAAAATTTTAAAAAGTTTTATTAATAATCCTTAGAATATTTAAACTTGTAAATCGTGAAAATTTATAATAACATTGTAAAGTTTATTGAGTTTTTAGAGAAAAATTTAAATTCTTTAATTTTAATTTGTGAATTTTTTACAATGAATTTGATTGATTTGATTGAGAGACATCTACATTATGAGCAGTATATTTATTAGGTATTATATTGTAAAATTCTTTGAGTAGCTTTTTGTAAAAAGTTTTTGAAAAGTTTTAAGGAAAGAAATTTTAATTATTTAAAAAATTACAAGAATTTAAATTTTTAGAGTAAAATTTCTTATGTTTAAAAATATGTATATTATAAAGTCGCATTAACAATATTATTCGATATTTTTATTATGTAAATCATCTCTTTAAATAATTTAAACATAATTTAATTTACAACATTATTCGACATAATTTCTTGGAACATTGTGCCATTTACACGCAAGTTGGAAAATTTGCATGAGAATTACAAAATTAAATTTTGAAAATATCATGTGAACTACTTTTAATTTATTTTTACATGCATTTGTATCTGTTCCATATAAGATCCACCATAAACTATGTGTTGAAAATTTGAAAATAATAAATAATGATTTTCATTTATTTAAAGAGAATGAGAATTTTTAATTATAATTCATCTTACCTATGAGAATCAATTTGTATTAAATAATTAATAAACAAAAATAATAAGATTATGAAATATTTTAGTTTTTGCATTGTTTGCGCATGCATGGTGGATTTCCATAATCTTTAATTAAAATTTATTATTTTAAATAATTTAACGATTGAAAATAAAGGAACAATCAATTTTTTATCAAATATAATCCAAGAAATTAAAATTGAAATTTATCAATCTCTTTAATTTCTTTATTCAAATTTAATATTATTTTCATCATTTTATATATTTCGCACATGCTTGAAATCTTGCTCACGTGGACGAACAATTACTTCACATTTTACTACTGCATCAATAACGATATGTTGGCACGACACTATCTGCATTCCAGACCTATAATATAAAATTATATTTTCTCAATAATGATGTTACACAAAATTTAAATAGATATGGAAAATTGATACAATAATTAAAAAAATATTTATATACGATATAAATATTATTTAAAGAAACGTTTATATTAATAAATTTAATTTTTTAATCATCTATCAATTATTAGAAAGCAAATATTGAAATTACTATATTTTACGTTATAATAATAAAGACGAAGATTGAAAATCATCCTCCATTTTTTTATAGGATCGTTAAGGGATTTCCACCAGTTTCACCCTTCATAGGCGTATCACCAACATTGTGCTATCTGTTAAAAGAAAAGAAACCATTATGTTGTCTTCAGCTTGCACAGGTAAATATCTTGCGAATATTTATTTAAATAGATAATAGATAAATTATAACCAAATGTTCTTTTGGATTGTTAGGTGTGCCAGCATTGTACCTACAGGAACGCCAAAGAGTACAATTGGCAGAACAAGACCATTATCTTGGCAGCTGATTACGCTAGCAATGGGATCTATAACTTCATAATTCCTTTGAGAGCTCATTTTAGGTATCCTGAAAAAAAGAAAATGATATTAATCTCAAAATTATATATATAATCTAAAAATTAAGAAAAATTTACAGAATTTTTAATTTCTACTCAACAAGTTTTTATGAAGGCTCCTTCGAACATTTTCTGATTTCCATACATGTCAAATAAATAAAAATTTATATGAGAGAAAGAAAGAAGTTGGAATTTCTATAAAGTTTATTAGTAATAATGAAAGCCTTTATCGAAAACAAATTATGAAATCATTCAAAACATAATGTTAATGAATGAGAGTTTTTTTTTTTTTTAGATCAAAAACATCATTGAATCCAATCATTCTTCTGTTGGAACGAACACCGGAAATTGCGTTTCTCGATGCTGTATCCTATTTTCCTTTGGTATACTGGATGCGAGGAACTATCGACTGTTTAGACGATCTTCTTCGCGCTGGTATCACTCTCGCAGAGAATGTGGTGGTCGTAAACAAAGAACTTAGCAATTCTGCTGAGGAAGATACCTTGGCTGATTGTAATACAATCGTAGCAGTTCAAACGATGTTCAAGTAAGTTGTTGGAAATTCTGCAAAAAAAATAATGATTGTAAGTCATGAAAAATGAAATATATATAAGTTATATTTCACTAAAAGAATAATAAAGTTTTAGTTTGGAGAAAGATTTGATCGCAGAATATGCAAAAGAGAGTTATTTCAATTTTTACTTCTTTTACAAGAAAAATAGCAACTATAAAAAAGTAGTAAATACATAGTAAATATTATGTACAAATTGAGAATTGATTATAAAATATGCAAAAGAATGATTTTTCAATTCTTTTTTTCATTTTACGTTGAATATTACTAATCTATTGTTTATGTATTTGCAGATTCTTTCCTAGCATAAAAAGCATAACCGAGCTCTCACAATCGAGCAATATGCGTTTCATGCAATTCAGGGCACACGACAAATACGCTCTTCATCTCAGCAAAATGGAAAAGGTATCTTTTCCTGTTGTTCTTGATACTAATTCTCATCACTTTTCGAAGAACACGTATTCAAGAACACAATTTGATCTTTCGGTAATGATTAATCCACTGATTATTAAATTAAGTAGTAATTTGTGATTATTTTGAATACAAATAGAAGATTAACATTCTTCGTTTCAAGATAAAATAAACAATTTGCATTCAAGTATACTCTGGTATTTGCTGTAACTTTAGTTGGTCTATAAAATACTAGAGGTGCTCTCTAATTAAGTAACTAAAGTTTCAATAAGGCTTGATTTTCTGATGATAGAAAATTGTTTGTCTTAGATTCCCTTGTGTTCTATTACGTATGTACGTTACTTGTCAAATTTATAAGTATACATACTCTCCTCATCTTTACTTTGATACTTTATATATCTATATGTACAGAAAATTTTGTTATATCATGTAAATATGAAGCAGCTAAAAAAATATAAAGATTTTTTTAAAAATTGTTAGGAATGATTAAAAAATTTTTTTAATTATAATTATAATTGTTTTAACAGAGAGAAAAGGAAAGAGGTTCCCATATATCTTATATGTTCCGATTGCCTTTCGCGGCTGGTAGTGTCTTCAGTGCCTCCATGTTGGATACACTTCTTTATCAAGCATTTGTAAAAGACTATATGATAACGTTTGTAAGATTGTTATTGGGAGTGGATCAAGCGCCAGGATCTGGTTTCTTAACATCGGTAATATATCTTTCTTCTATCTCTTCTTTTATTCTTAATGAAAACAAATAATTTCTAACAAAAATTCGTATTCAAAAGTTTCAAAAGAATAGAAATTTGCTGTGAAAAGTTATTTCTTATTTTTTTTTTTTTTTTTACCATTTGAACAGATTTTCTTATCTTAAATAACACTTTTAATCACAATTTTAATTGCTTTCCTAATTATTCACACGTTCTACTTTAATCTAATTAAACCTAATTTCATAATTATATTTGTTATTTATATTTAAGCTTCCAAAGGCTCATCTTTCAAATTATTTTTATTATCCGTTTAATTACAGATGAGAATCACAAAGGATGACATGTGGATAAGAACTTATGGCAGACTTTATCAAAAACTTTGTTCAACGACATGCGAGATCCCTATTGGGATTTACAGAACTCAAGATACTACTGTTTCAGATACGTCACACGTGAGTAGATAATTATCTATTTTTCATAATGAAAGATTTTGATTATAAATGATTGATCCGTGTACTATATATATTCGTATAAGGGTAGGAAACGACTTTTTGAATGGCGGCTGTGAGTAGCGCATGGTTGTATTCCTGCTCTATCTCTTGCTCTGTATTCTGTTCCAATATCAGCTCGTGCAGCGTTCTTAGAAATTTTTCAATTCCTTTGAAACGAGAGTGAAACGAGTGTAGGGGCACATCTTGTTTAAACGATGCTCGTGGCACGTCCTTCGATCCTGTTCGTTTCTGAACCTGCATCATGTTATAAGCATTATTCATTATACATATTAGTTTTGATCGAAAAGCTTCTTTCGATAATTTTTTTCCCCTCTTTTCTTGAATATATAATAACTCTTAAAATGTAGAATGTAGAATAATATATTTGTAATATATAGGCAATATATTTATTTTTCGTGATTACTGTGATCTTATAATGTTTTCGTATTAGTTGATAGACAATATAGAGATCGATTTCGATATGATTTACGATAATTAGATTTTTAGCAAATAGACACAATAATTACATCTATACAAACTTGTGATATTTATATAAATGAATCCTTTTAAAACACGTGTATGGACTATGGACAATGAATGTTATTTCTAATAATGAAATATCTACCATATTTTAAATTTATCTGTGAACACAATAGGATGTTATGTTTATATAATAATTATACATTTATAAAATAAATTTTTACTCAGAGTACTCTATGTAATCTAAAGTATTCCAAAGTATCATTGAATCAAATTATTAAAATATATATTTATTAGTAATATGACATAATATATCAGACACAATTTTTTAATGATCTATATTAAATTTCATTTTACTCAAACTCAAAAATATATTAATTAATATTAAGAATAAAATTTTATTTTTAAAATTTTCAAATTCATTTTCTCAATTTTTATCATTTCAAATAATTTATTATTATCTACAATCTTTATTTTTTTATAACTAGGAAATTTAAATCTATAAAAGTCTAGAATCATGAAATGCATATAACGTGCAAAAAGATATAAAATATCTAATGCAAAGTACAAAGTATTTCAATATTATTCATTCTGTCGTCATAAAAATTTTAATTTGCATAAATATCTATAATAATATTTAACAGTTTCATTAAAATCTACTTATACTAAAAAAAAAAAATTGTTAAACATCTTGTAAACTTATATATTCTATACTTTCTCTTCGACGGAATAAACTCAACAAAACATGAATATATATATCACAGAATAACTACCGATCTCATGTACATTGATAAAAACGAAACGAAATGAAAAGCACAATCAAGCGTGCGTGCAAAATTCCAACAACGATAGGCTATCCTTAGTAGAATTGCTTATCGTTTTGGCAGGGCGACTCAGACGCGGAGAGCGATGCCGGTGTCGGTGTGACGTACAAGGTGCGTAATTCGGCGGCAGGTTCGTGCCTAGCGAATTGCGCCACTCGCGACAAAGGTGCCTCAGCCGTGAGTACACAGAGTCGAAGTTGTCTGGTCATCGTTTATTTCTCTTGATCGACTTTTTGTCTATGTGTATATATTGTCCACTATTATTTTTCTCTCTTTGTACAATTCTCGTACGCCGCATATTCTATTTCTATTTTTCTCTACTTTTCTCTAAAAATAAAACTTTCTGTCTAATCACTTCTTTATCGCTGTATTCTACATACTTGATTTTCCTTACGCTGGTGTATGAAAAGCTCGTCGACACGCCATCTATTAACGCAGAACGCATGACAAGTGTTTATCAAGCAGTCAATGGCTTCGACCTAATGCTCAAGATCCACTGCTCGTCTTCACCGCATACCGTTGCCCTCTCGATGGGATCATCGAGAAAATTCACACTTGAATTTTTGATGATTAATCGTATTGACATTGAAGGAATGGTGATTGATAAGTTTTTGATGAGATTGTTATAATGTTAAATTAACGTATAAAAAAAATGTTAAAATTTCTAAAAAAATAATATTTATCTCGTCATTATTATTATCAATCAACTATTTGGAAAAGCACTAACAATGTATTATTCGTATATTCAGAAAAAATTTACCTTTCCATACCTAAAAATCTTCTTATTTTTTTTCTATAAATAGTATTCGGTGAGCCTTGGCGATGAAGCGCGAGACAACCACGCCCAGCAGATCGAGAGAGCAGAGATCGCCAATTTAGTACGTTCCCGAATGGAGTCTTTGAATTTGCCGGTAGCCGACTACGATGATGTCTCCGAGAAACGAAACAACCTATCCTATGTGATTATCAATCCCAGCTGTGACCTGAAGCTCGAAGAAGGCGATATAGTGTATTTGGTGCGACCAAGTCCGTTCTCGGCGCAAAAGACCTTCGAGCGACACAATTCCAGACGGAAGAGCAACATCAGTTTCTGTTCAGCTCAGTTGGTATCGCAGATGAGTGCAGCTGTAGCTTCAGCCGGATTGCCAGGCGCTGGAGCGGGAAGTCGTCGAGGATCGGGAATAGGTCTGCCTAGGGCGCCTCCATTGAGCACCACAAAATCGAATTCTTTATCCTTACCAGACAGCCCAACGGTAGCTGGTACTCTACGTGGTCGTTCCAATTCGTTAAGAGTGGTCGACGACATTCTTCTGAGACGCAGCAACTCGTTGAGGCAAGGATTGACGATGAGTAGAAGAAAAAGCAGTCTGGAGGATATAGGTCTAGGTGCATTATCCCATCCGTCAAACCACAACCCGATCAAAATAGCACTGAATGGCTCTATCGGTCTGGAAGTGACGCCGCCAGAGGAAGGTTCTCAAATAGGTGGCGCCAGCAACACTGGAATATTAGACGTTGGCCTGCCATCTATGCCGGAACTAACTGCTGCCCTCGGATCTAACATCGATCCTTGTTTAGGCGGATCTTTAGGCGGATTATACGATCCACCAATCCTCCAGGGCCCATTAGGATCACAGTCGCCTCAAATCCAAGGTGGTACGCAGGATCCTCAGCATATACAAGGGACAATCGTATGATATAACCTTATGTGGGGACGCAGGCTCTCCGGCGTGGTGCGAAACAAATGGCTGTAGCGTTCCCACATGACACGTCAAAATCACTAGGTGGGATATTGTCTCTCAGCATTCTGATTGTCGACGATTTTGGTGGGACTGAAAGATGGTAGTGACACGATGATTATATAATGATCGTAATAAGAAAGCGGCCGGAGAGCAAGGTGTTTCAGTGATACGTATCGATGACTGTGACGAAATAAATGAACACGAAGAATGAACTGTTTAAACAAATTTTTTACTTCGTTCTACTATTACACTTTTGGTAATTTCAGTTTAGTTTTAATGGCGATGGCATGGTTCGTCGCAAACCATCGGGGACCTAAACGCGACATCGTAGAGTCGCAATTGTGATACGCCAGTATGCTGATAATCTTTCGTTTTTGTATATCTTGAGCAGAGCTGGGCAGATTTTGCGTTTCTTCTAGCCATTATGGAGACAAATGATAAGTGATCATTGACTTCGACGATCTTTTTGTTTTAAAAGTATTTATCTTTATATTTATTTACCATTGATATCTAAAAGAAAACAATGACAATTTTTAACAACTTTCTAAAAATTAATAATTATATTTCAAAATGTGAAATCTATAAAATATTTTGACTGACCAAGTAATAATACTTATTATTATTAAAAAAGATATTATCAAACATTATTGAAACGATTATAAAGAATATATAGAAATAATTCAATTAGAAATTTCATTCAAACAATGCCCAGTTCAGCTAGCATATAGTTGTTTCAATGAAGTTACGATACTGTTTTAATAATAATAATAATAATAATTCTCTATTTGTAGATAATATGATCATACATTTCCAGCAATTTATTGCGAGTTTCATTTCAAAATACTCATTTAATATAAATCATGGTGTGCGTAGTAAGCTATGTTCTAAAACGTTTTGCTCTCTAGTCGACTCTGGCATTTCAATTTCCGTGGATTCGATTGAAATTTTCAATGATATAATCGACCACAAACATATGCTAGATTCACAAACGCGCAATAACATGTGCCAGATCGAACCAAAGTAGAGAAAAGAAACTTGTAATGATGGAAAAGAGATTAATTTTATACAAACAGGTAAAAATTTTATTGAATAAGAAAAATACCAAGCCTGAAAAATTATTCAAATACATGATATTATTATATTGTTTGCAAATAAATTAATAAATTCATAACATTATTAAAAAAAAATAAAAACACGAACAAAAATTTATTTCATTATAAATCCTTCAATTATAAAACAAATAAATATATCTTAATATCAAATTTTTAATTATAATTCTTATGCTTATATGTTTTATATTTATTATATGTAAAATTATATTATAAATATATGTAAAATAAATCTCTTCCAAGTCCATTGTCACACGTTTTCGAGATAACTAGTAATAGGTAAGAGAGAGAATCGTCTCCCTAGTGAAAATCTCAATTCTTATGTAGGATCACGTTCGAGGGTTGAAAATATAATTTTATACTAGAACCAATTTATGACGAAAATAATATCATATAAATTATGATTATAAATATAAACATATGACCATTTTAAATCATATCACGCGAGTAAGAGAAATCACTTATTGATGGAGGATCATTATATGTATAGAGAAGAAAATGATTTTAAACCAGTATGACCGAATCGAGATTTCAGAATCGATCCTAACCTAAAAACTCGATTCCACGTGAAATGAAATATTTTATCGAAAATTTTTATGTATAAACACATTTTTTTCTTCTCTTATTATGATTAATTCAAAACAATGAATCTTCTATGAAATCTTTTAATGAGAATCCTTCGAATTTATAATATTCAATCAAACGTATTGTTTGTTCTTAGCGATGAAAGAGGAAGTTGAAATAAGAGAAAGCAAAGTTTCGACAATCTGTTTAATCAGTTAGGTGAATACGTACATAGACGTTGATAGGAATGAAAATAAAAAATGATGTCTATATATTTCTTGACTCGATGCTTCGAGCCATTTGCAATCATTTCTTGACCAATTTTACATGTTTCTCTGACCAAACATCATCTTGTCGAGTATCTGCTTCGATGCTACTTTGCTGAACTCGTTTAATGATTCAATTAATGATCAGATCAATTTCAATTATATATAGTTATTGATTATGAAGCTATATACTTTTTTGATGGTGCTGACAAACAAAATGTCTCGAGATATTAAAATTTAAAAATTAACGAAATTTATTCGTGATAAAGTCAAGTATCAATGCACTAAAACTTAATACTTTATAAAAATAACAAGAGAATTTATTACATTTAATCATCAAAATTATTAAATTTGTAATTTGTCAACAAATATATCGAAGAGATATCATGTTTAAACAAATTTTTCAAATTACTTAGATTACATTTGAAAAATTACTTTTCTTAAAATTAAATTTTAGATTATTGATCCAAAATAACAATCTAGAATTAATATCAAAATATATAAAATGAAGCGAATCGATCTTCAATCTCTATAATTTATGTATATTATACTATTTAGCCAAAAATGAAAATGAATTTTCCTTAACGCACTGTCGGTAATGCGAACATTTTACACTCTTATTCGAATATTTCTCTGGCCCCGTTTTCCGCTTTTTTAACTTTCTCTTCCTCATTAACTCTCTGTCTTTCTCAATTTGATTAGCGTAATGAAATCTGCCTCGTGTATGAACGCCGATCATCTTCATCGATACTGGCTCGTAGAATTTTGTATATATATTTGAAAACGCAGCCGTGGTATTTTTCAAATATTAATTAATGATGATTTTCTATAATCTAACGATGAGATAAAAATTACAAAGTGAAAAAATGGTCTACTTGATCGATATTATAGATCTCTATATTATGTTTCAAGTCTAAACATGATGTGAGAAGTATTGTAAATGTTAGTTATTAACACGTTCATTGTCGAATATATGATAAATGATATAAAATTTTCTGTTTATGTCATATGGAAATCATCATTAATAAACATTACTTAAATAAATCCAATAATACTTGTTTGAATTCCATCGTTAGAATTAAATAGATCATTCTTCACTAGTCACTTATCACAAACATTTGTCAGAGGGCTCCACTTTCGAGTTTGTGAATATTTTTACGAGAAAATCGTTACTACTATACGTAAATTATAGTTTGAATTCTCAATGGAATTTAAACAAGTATTGCTATATTAAGATTAAAAAAAAATATTTTATTTTATTTTTTGTAAAACTGATTTGACAATGAATGTGTTAAAAGTTCAATATATAAAAACCAAAGAAATATAATGTGAAATTTGAGTGAATGGAAATGTTGTAATCTTTTAAAAGTTTGAGGACATTGATGGATATATTGATAAATTTGACATGAGATTTACCAAAATTTAGTCTTGTATTTTTCGATACTAAAAGGATTCTACTTATTATATCTCTTTATTGATTCAACGATTGAAATAAAAACGAAAAACGAAACAAAACAATAAAAGTAACAAGAAATTATGAAAGAGTTATATTTAATAAGAAAAAAAAAAAATCGAATAGGAAATATTAAAACGAGAACAGTGTACATAGATTAATTGTCATAGGATCGATCAAAAATAAATGTGACCTGAGAGCGAGTAGTAACTATTATTATCGATCTATGCATTATCGATATGAAAAAGCGATGTGAAAGTATAAAAAACTGCTTTCGACTGTATGCGAAATATCCTAGTTACGTTTGACATAAGAAAGCGATTGTCCACGATTCTGTTAACGTTTATATAAATATTAGCAACGAACCGTGAATAATGATAATCTCGAGCGGAAATTTTCTATTAACAAACGAAAAAAGAAAAAAAAAAAGAAAAGGAAGAAACAAAGTAAAAAAAAAGAAGATTGGAAGATAAAGGTTAGATACGTAAGATAAAAAGAGAAGTGCGAACAAACGGATATATAACTATATTAACAATGGAGAATAATATTACGATAATATTAAGACGTGAGTATATATCAGAAAAAAGAATATTGTCGTGTCTTCATAGGAAAAAAGGAAAAAACAAAATGGAATCATTTTGATTTGCATTTTGATGGTGCGTGGATCTTTGAATCGATAACCTCTTCGCAAGTTCCTTCTGAGATTTCTATGTCTATCGTAAGAGTTCTGAAAGTTAAAATTATGTAAAGTGAACTGCCGAGCTTGCGATATCGAGATGATATAAATTTTCTCTCGTTTTTTTTTCATAAACATACAATATAACGCAAAACGTCACGTTTCCTTATTTTCATAATCTGATAATATTTTGCCAGAAGAAAGAAAAATCTTTTTGAATTTCTTGCATTTTAATTGAAAATCATAATCATTTTAGATTAAACCAATCACCATAATTATACAAACAATGCAATGTATGTGCTCAAAAACAATTATTTTGTTTAAATTGATTTTAATTCAAATGGATAAATGTTTTTTCGAAATTTTCAACCTTAATAATATTTATAAAAAATTTTACAAGAAATTCAATAAGTTAAATTAATAATTGAATAATTTTCTTTTTTATCTGATACTTTCTATTCTATTAAAAGTTAAAATAACTTCTCGAATTTTCTTTCGATTTTCAATAGCTCGATTTATCAATTTATTCGCGCATATTAAAAAAAATTACAGTTGTCAAATTAAAGTTGTCATTTTGTCAATTAATTAAAAAAAAAAAAAAATAGAACTGTACAAAATCGTCGAAAAATACAAAAAACTATTTCCATTCCAAAGTTTCATATGTAATTGTATACGTAACATACAAAACATGTTCCCGTTCCCGATCGATCTATAGAGCATCAAGATTCTGGTGAAAATTATTTTCATTTAGTCGAAATCGAAACGAGAGCATGACGAATCTCGAAGAACCAGTGTTTTCAATGTCGTCGAGAATTTGTTTCCACGATATAAGAATATAAAATTAATATTCGACCACACGAAAAAAGAAGCTACAAACGGCTGTATGTAATATAAAGTAATAAGAGCAGAAAAACAGAGAGAAAATGTATCTATATACACGTGACACATTGTCACACAACGCGTGTATGTAAATTTATTATAAATAAATTATTATAAAGCAGCAACACCTTTTTTTTCTCTTCTGATGCTTCAGCATTACAATTTATTCCATTAACATACAATTCCATTGATCTTATTAATTGGAATAGATGGATTGAAAACTTTGTATTACAAATTTCTGTTCCGTATTTTTCTATTTTGGGAATGTGTATGCTTAAGATTTATCTGGTAACTTGTAAAATCGAAATATTTTAAATTAGTCGATATAAATACTAAATTAATAGTTTCTTGAATAATTTATTTCATTTAAAATAGAAAGGAAATATTATATAACGAATATGTATTTTTAAATGACAAGAATTCTAGATTCGATAGTACATTCTACCCGTAGTTGTATTGTCAGAAAAATTACAATTGTATCTCACTTCATGATTCTGAGGTAAATAGCGAAGGAACGGTCAGTCATTGACTAATTTTTTTTTTTTTTTTATTAACGCTATACTTATTTGTAAGAAATTATAGTAAGAAATTAGCATCATTATCTCATTAATAATCCATTTTTTGACTTTATCGGTGTTTCAACAAAAAAAATCTATACTTAATTATTTATATAAAAAAGAAAAAGCAATAAAAATAGTAAAAGCATTTACGTCAGGAAATAAGAAACTATCATTGCACCAAATGAGTGTTTCTGCCCTGTAGTAGAAAGATTTTTAACTTAGTAAAAAAATTTTACATTTAAATAAAAAAAAAATCTTTAAGTCAAAATTTATCTTCCCTTACAAAATAAGAATAAAATTAATCATATTTTCAAAAAGAAAGTCGATTCTCAAACATTATCATGATACATACACGTCTTCTAATTATCATTACTAAGAGTTGCAACACAATGCAATCGCGATATCGACAATTAATAAAATAGACGAAATATCTTGATTGCATGTAGTATGTGGAATGTTTTTTTTTATTCTACGTGTATGCACATCTGCGTTCTTATATTTACATATATTATGTATATTGTCTTCTCGCTATGCACGATTATAAATACAGCGTTTAAATACAATATCGACAAATGTAGATAGATCCGTCTATTGGACTAACTACAGCTTTATAGGCTTCAACACGTTCTCCGTGAATTGTCCAACAATGTTACCCCTCGGATGGTAACACGCAACTACTACGCAGGTTCCATCCTTTTTAGCTAATGCTATACCCATCTCGGTTGTATTTTTCCAAACAATCTGTGTAAAATGGCCTAAAAAAAGAAAAATTATTATGTATTATTATTTTAATTATTTTCTATAATTATATTATTATTTAATTTTTTTCATAAATTTAATATTATATATCATTACACATTTTAAAAAAAATGAATGAAAAATAAAATTTTTGAAAAAAAATTGAAAAGATTTCGAAAAACAATAAAAAGTAAATAAATTAATGAAAATAAATAATAAATAAAAAATAAAATTGAATTAACAAAATTCGAACGTTTATCTTTAAAACGGTAACGAAGGATTATCAAATAATATAATTTCTCACAGAATTTATTGTCTTGTAAAAAAATAGAAAATATATCAATATATTTCTAACAAAATATCTTTACTTCTTCTTCTAACAGTCTTATCGTTAAAAATAATTAATAAATAGATTTTTGTATGCTGTGTTACATACATGTATTTAAAACCTTTGGCTCTACGCCATATTTGTGATCCTTCTTCTCAGCATACCACTTCGAAACGACTTCCCGCGGCGTTACGATCACCTTTGGATCGGAGCATTGCATCGAGTAGATATTCTCTCCGTACGGGGACGACGTCTGGGGAATCAACTTGTTCGTGTTCAGTAACGTGTTCGCCCACGCCTGAAGATAGCGGAAAAAAATTTGTAATCGAGCGTTACTCTTGAACCCAAGCGTGCACGGTCAATTGCAAACTAGCTAAGTCATGATCGTGCTCAAGACAAATTATAGTTGATTGAACTGCTAATTCTTTGATAAAGATTGGTGAAGATATTTAGAAAATGAAATAAATTTTTTTTTTTGAAATAGAATAAATGATTGTTATAATTGTTATATGGAAAATATACCTTAGCAGCCGATGTTAATTCTACGCTTAACCTCAAATCTGAAACACGATGTTTCCTCCTATATTCATTGTGAACCATTAAAGCATCCTGTTGCCATGCTTGTTCATCTAATGTGTAATATGGCAAAGCTTCTATCAAAGTTTTTTTTAAAGGTTTTACACCAAGAGGTAAAACGTTCTCCGTGAAACTGCCCAGGAAATTTCCAGCCGGATTATAATTACAGACGACGTATACTTCACCATTTCGATTTCTGGCCATTCCAACACCCAATTCGGTACTATCTTTCCACACAACTTGGGTAAAATGGCCAGTTTTTAGAGTGGTTGGCTCTTTTCCGTACTGATGTTGCCCTTCTTCGGCATACCTATAGAAAGAAATATATAATGAAACAGGATAGATGTAATATATATAATATTTAAAATAAATAATTTATAACTGTAAATTATTTGTATTTCGAATTAAAAAAAAAAATTAATTACCATTCGTTTACAGGCTCGTCACCGTGTACAATAGTCTTCGGATTGGAACTCCACATACAATATAGATTTTCACCATAATCTGTGTTTGCCCTATGTTCTAATCTACCTCTAGTTGCCAATATATTGGCCCAGTCCTGACTCGTTTTACATAACTGAAAACGAAGAATTGATATATTCACTTTTTTTATTTTTTTAATTTAACAAAATTAATAGTGAATTTTCATATTTTATTTATTAAAGTTAAATACATATATTGGTTCAGTTTATTCAATATTATCACGAAAAGGAAGTAACCTGCTTGTTGAGACGAAGAGGTGGCACTCCATGCCTCGCGCGATAAAAATTGTGCGTTTCAAGACAAATGTTGATAAATTCCTTAGGAGGACCCAATCTGCGCACAGATGGTTTACGTGTGTCAGTTTTTGTTATCTATAACACATAGAGAGAATATGTTGTATGATACGTGAAATTTGTGTGTGACAAACATTTAATAGGTTAAAATAACTCTAATGTGAGAATTACTTATAAATCCAACTAATATAAAATAATTCCTTTTCAAAATTACTTGTCCTTTCTCTTAGATTATCTTAAAATAATATTTTCTATGCTATAATTTGTAGAAATGATACGTATTTACAATTAAGGAAAAGCAATCAAGCTTGACTTTGTCGTGGTCGTTTTCCTTATAGTTGTATACATAGGGTGTACATATAAAAAATATTTTTAAATAACAATTTTGATTTAATAATATTTAAAAAATATATAAAATCTTAAAATCATAATAAATTTTAATTTCTGAAATTCTTTTAACTTCATAAATTCATAAATTATTGTATCAAATTTCGAATTACAAAAAAAATCGAGTTAAAATATAAAATTTCGAAATTGGAAAATTTGAAAATTTGAGAGAATTAAAGTTTTAAAGGATTTCGAGATTTTCAATGTTCCAACTTTATTAATATTATATATTTCTCGTCACACGTTGTAGATACATACGCGTGCACGTCACAGTCAAAGCGAAATCACGCGATCGCACGAGTGCACCGATAATAAAGACGGCGACGTCTTGAATAACCTAGATGTGGAATAAAACCAATGGGAAAAATGTATTGTATGGCAGAAATTATGACTATTTTTCGCTTTGGGATACCAAAAAATATAAATCTTTTTTTTTTTTCCCAATAGTAAATATTCGAATAGATTCCAAAATATCATTTTTTAACCTCAATTTAGTAATAATAAATCTAATAAAATGAATTCAATAAGATTCATCAGATTTATATAATGTTCGAAGATTATTCCAAATTTTATTAATTCTTGGATATGAATGATCAAATTTAAATCAATATTATGTTTGTGAACATTTACGTTTGAAAAAATTATTTTATAAAGATAAAACTTATATTTTTTGAAATTTAATGACTTAAAGTAACTCCGGAAAAAAATCAATAATTTTTGGTGTCTCAAGACGAAGTTTACCCAATGTTTCCCATCGTGCTCACAGACTGTAACACAGTTCATTTTCAGCACGATAATTAGGAAGCAAGTTATCGTGAAATCGCCATATTCTTTATCACGATAGTTTTCAATCACGCGTTTTCTCTTTTAACTTCGACTTCTTTACAATTGATATAAAAGGACGAGTAATAGATTATAGATACGTATAATTTTTCACATTAAATCAATTAAATGGAAAAATTTTATGTGATGGTTAATGACATGTTCAATTAATTTTATCGGTCGATAAAAAACTCGGAAGAAGCGCCAACTTCACGGATGTATTTTCGAAAGGCAATATCGATCGATCGTTGCGTATTTTTAATTTCCGTGCAAATGTCAAGCGATGCTTCGTTGTACACTTGATAAATAAGGTTGTTGAAAATACCAATAATTGTGAATTAATAAAAATACATTGAAAGATTATAAAAAATAATTTTTATTTTATTCTTTTCGTTAGGATGTTAATATAAATTACATTTATCTTATCTAAAAAAAATCTTCGAAATTACATAATCCACTATATCATATTTTTACAGACACAGCAATGCTAAAATAAATCGACGTATCGATTTCAAGTGACTCTTATGCATGCAATTTACAACACTCGAAGTATGTACATAAAAAGATACAAATTTAAACGGTTTAATACTTAATAATCAATATTTATCTATCAAATAAATAATGGAATCTATCTTATATTTGCATAACCTCAATATTCGTATGAAAAAATTATTTCAACCAATTTGTTTTCTTTTTATTATGAAAAAGTTAACCATTATTAATGATAGAAAATTTTTTGCTTCAAATTTCGATCTCTAAGTACTAAAAAAAACCTGAATCGAAAACCGAGTCTAAACAAGTTCATTTTCCACTTTCCTCGTCCAACATGACCAGTCATCGGAAAACGAGAAACCTCGATTCGAACCAAGTATACAGTCTTTCCTAAACGAGTCTCGAGAAAACTCTCGACCTGCCAATTTCCTATTTATACTCCTTTCTCTTCGATCTGTACACGTACAGTCGTCAGGTATTCACGACCGAAGAGTAATAAATAGAAGATAGAACTATATACCGACAGAGTAACACAAAGCGCAAAAATGTGGCGCGGAAAGATCGAAGAAGCACTCGAACTCGATTCTCGATTAGTCATCGTTAGCGAGAATAACGATTTCCCGAGGCGTTATGCGCGACAACCGTTCACTAGACGCGTCTCTCGAAAAGGGAACGATCCTGAGTCATCACAGATGCCAATGTACCTCGATATCGCTCGTCTGCACGTTCACGTGATCGTGTGAACGCGTGACGATGATTTATTTCGCCCGTTTAACCTTGAAATGATAACCGGTTACGAAACTTGTCCACGTTCGTTTATTCCTTTTTGTTTCGGTACACACGCGTGGCGCTTATGTGTATATATATATATATATATGCGCGTATGTATATGTATGTAATATAGATGATAATGGTGAGTGATGAAGATGTTTATATAAAATTAAATTTTACGATGAATATGATTGAAAAAATGAAATTTAAAAATAGAATCTGATAATGAGGAATTATTGTTTCCAAAACAATCTCTTTTTCGAGAGAAAATGTTTCGTAAAAATTTTTCATATGAATATGAGTTAATAATCTTATTAATTGAACTAAAAATTATAGTTGATGAGATAAAATTTGATAATTCCTATTATATGAATAATCTGCTTGTATGAACCGTCATGTCTTTTCTTCATAACCTCCAATGCAATAAAAAGAAAGAAACTGTTAGTATAATAATATAATAATACAATTTGTTAACAAAAAAAAATATGTATTAACAATTTAAAGACACAATTACAAACATAAAGATAAGATAATAATAAATATTATATTTTTTTTATATTATTTTTATATTATCATCATATTTTTATAATAAGTATTATTATTACCGGTGTGGACGTGTATCTTGCAGAATCAGGAGACGCCGAGGATGATCTGGCACTGCTGCAAGACATGCCATCGCTTCCTAAACTTCCGTGAAAACTGCCGTGCAAGGAATTCGATAACGGCCCTGGAGATGCCGGCGATGCTGTCAAAGGGGACTTGGATCTCACCGAATCTGTCCTCGACCTGCGAAATTCAGAAAATCGATTATCACATGTCATAGTGGTACAATGAGTCTTTCAAACAGTGACACTCGTAATAGGCTGTGCACGAGTTCGATACAAGCGACTTCTATTTTTCTTCGTAAACAAAAGATCTATAGTTGCACGTTTGCGGTTAAGTTGTAGCGTAGTATCGGGATACAGTTGTTTTCAATAATTGATTAATGAATGAAAATACTTATTTCGCGTTAGATAAATTTAGTCAAATTTAATTATTCTTACGATTAAATGTTTTTCTCTCTCTCTCTTTTTTCCAAATAAATAAGTGAATATAGCAACAATGAAAAGAATCGATTCGAATAACGAACTATTGCCCAACATTACTGCCACCTGGTGACTTAGCATCGAATTAACCGAAATCCCTATGGATTCAATTGGAAAGCAGCGTGATTGAACTGTTTGTATTCACAGCAGTATACAAATTAGTTGTGCATTGAAAGCGATTGATTGGGTATATTTGGAGAATATATTTTTTTCAAGGATACAATTGGAACGAACAATTTATTTATTTAGATTTATAAATATAGCTATTTTGTCGATTAATAATATTTCGTTAATGAAATTTAATTTAATTGTATTCCATTTTGCAAATTCATAAACATTATTCCAAAATATTCGAATTATTTTCTAAAGCAATATATCAAGTCACTTAATTAGTTGAACTTGTACGATTATGGGAGGAGAAAAGGTTTAATCTTTGATACTTTGCTGTTTCAAGCAATTGCCATGTGCCAAATGGCCTTGTATGTTTTTCTTAAAGCGTCCACAGTTCCTGCAACATGTGCGCGATATGTCTTTCGAGGATTCGTTGGAATATCATCATTAAACGAATCGCAAATTCGTATGGATTCACCAGATGTTCGACAAACTTTCCATTTTGTCACATTTATCTTTGTTTTATCAATTTTCACTTTTATCTATCTAATTGAATCGATTTAAATTTATTTTTAAAAATGAATATTCGGTGAATTGATTGAAATTGTAAATCTTTGAAAATATTTGTATAGTCATTATTATCATTTATATTTTTTTAAATATTTTATTACGCATTATTCTTTTCTTACTTTTTCACTTTACTTTTTTATCTTTTATCTATAACATATTCATAACTTTGATTATTAATTCGACCATTTATTTATCCTTATAATTAGGCTAATTAAAAATATTTATTACAAAGAGAATATTATCACATTATGCCAACTGCATTGCTACGTTAAACATTCGACAATTATCTTGGATATTTTTATATTTAGCTACAAAAAATATTATTCTACGATTTTGTTACACATGAACCAAAATAAAGAAAAGAAACAAGTATCGAGCAATATATAAAATTCGCCAATTCATTCTCTCGAATCATTTCTCTTCAAATACACCCAATCCAAGCAAAAGTTTACCCGGCTTTAACAGCTCCATAAGAAACACAAGCAAAACACGAACGCGCAGAGAAACGTGTTAAATTAGCATCCGTTTCTCTTCAGCCTTGTTTCTCGCTCGTCGTCCTGCTGAATCAAACGAAATTAAACAAGTGTTGAACGACGGTTCAAGTCTCGACAAGAACTCGAGCGGACTTCGAGTTCTGACTATCGATATTTTTATCGATAAATATATCGATAATAGATGAAATTATTTTTTCTTATTCAAATCTATTATTAAAGATTATTATATTGTAAAATAAAACCGATTTAAATAAATTACAATATAGTTTTACAATGAAATTTTTTTTTACAATTTATTTTTTTTACAAATAATATTTTTATTGATAATTTTAAAAAAAAAAAAAGAACTTCGTTCATCGATATATCGAAAATTATTGATAAAATATCGATGATAAATAATCACAAATCCGCAGATGGAAGCTTTTTGTATCTCGAAAGCTGAAAGCTGGAAAAAAAGCGTGTATCGATCCCTCGATAAATCCTTCTATTTCATGCGTGTTTTTGTGTGTTTTTGTGCGTTTGTTTAAAAAAAAAGAAAGATCGTTCGCATGCGAATCGAAATGATCGAAAAAGGGGATCGTCTCTAAATGTGAAGTTTGTGAAGTTGCATAGGTGCATCTGAATCTATTCCAGGATGTGTTCCACTGAGCTGAATACCGTGACACTGAGGATTCGTTTTTGATTTGAATGATCGCTCGATGATTAATTATTCGAATGGATCGAAAAATTGATTGTGAAATTGAAATATGAAACTTTGTGAAATTCTTGAAATATGTATTGAGAAATCTAGAATTAAGATTTTAATTTTGATTTATAATTGGTTTCGAACCATTGCTTGCAATATGATTAATGATTAATGATAAAGCTTTGTTACGAAATGAATGCAACAGGAAGAACAATCGAATTATTTCGAATAATTATAGATTATTCATGAAGAATCAATAAGTATCATATATCTCTTTTTTATTTTTCTCGTTTGTATTTAATTAAAAGTCGCTATTCGATTCGAAAAAAAAGTAATAAAATAAATGAAAATCATTATTACAATTATTTTAATAAATTCTACGTTTAAATCGATTAAAATTTAATTAAGTGTGAAATAATACGTAAAATATTAATACTAAAATAAAAAAGTAAAATTCAACCAAAGCAGCTTCTCGAAACACAAACATTTCTTGACATCTCCGCGAATATATACATTGAACGCACGCAACGCGCCGAACTTAATTAACCAACTCAAAGCGACAGTGAATAATCGCTCCATTGAAAATATCCAGCTTCGTAATACTCTACTGAATCAATATAGAAGTAATAAAAAAAAAAAAAAAAAAATAACAAAACTCGATCAAAGCTTCCCGAAACGCAAAATTTCTTAACATCTCCGCGGATGTACGCATTAAACGCAACGCGACAAACTCAATTAAACCACGGAGACGATTCAAAGCGGCGCGACAGTGAATAACCGCTCCATTGAAAACGTCGGGATCTGTATGGACCGACATTTTCAATGTCCCGACGTTGTTCCTTTTGTCGCGCAACAGCTCAGCGTATTTACAGTATCAGCGTTCAGCCGGTGAAGTAACGATACAAGAAGCCGAGAGAAAGCAGCGTGGGACACACACGAGAACGAAGAATTACGCGCAAACTTCTTCCACACGCTCCGTCCCCCGCGAGCATTTACTTCCTTCTTGCAGAGGTGTCGCTTCGACCACGGCCACGGTCAGAAGAAAGATTGCGCCATCTCTTTTCCTTCTCTCGACCACGATTTATTAGCCCTCGAACGTTCGAGAGGGAACGACGAACGCAGAGGGCATTGTTCTTGGCGAATATAAATTTGGAAAATTGGACAGAAGCAGTTTTGCAGGGGAATTTGCTTTTGAAGTAGAAGATGTTCTTATTTTAAGAATACTTGGATTTTCGTTGTGGATAAGTAAAATCATCGAAAAGAATTTTTTTCCGAGTTTGAAATATATGGACGAAGAAACGAAGTGTTATTGCTCAATGATAATTATGCTATGATAATTTCGATTGCCTTTCTATCTTTATAGAAAGTTCTTAGATTCTTTTTTCGATCGAGTTAATATCGTAATTCGAAGAATAGAATTATTCTTAGTCATTTGAAAGATAATTGGAAATCGACAGATAGTATTACTCGTGTAATTTACGTTTATCTTATAATTTCGTTTCTTATCCGTTAGATATTCGTTTAATTACAAGAAAAGTCTGGAAAGAGCTGGAAAGTTATGATGGAATTAATAATTTCGCTATTTATATATTGCAAGATTATACGATTCTGAAGTTTAATTCTTAATATTTTTCATCCACTGTTTCTCTATTCGATCTTAATTACTTTCAAACTTCGAAAAGAACGCTCCACTGCTCCAAGGTCAAGTTCATGCAGCCTTTCACTTTTCTTTCTCAGTCGATAAAAAAGATTCGCTTTTGAAATTCTCATTAATTTTAATTCCTTCGCGACAAATGAACTTTCTCTCGGCTTCGTGTTGGCCGCCTACGTCATTACTATTAAAACTAAGGCCATTCACCGACCCTAACGAAGCCCTGGAAAGCGCGACGACGTACAAACGAAAGATGTTTTTTTCTTCCTTTTTCCCTTGCACCGTCGAATTGGCCAAGCACTGCTCGTTCACGCCACTCGGCTTCGTTAGAATCGTTTGGCTTTGCCGTACACCATGGGTGAATACCTTTCAGGCGACAGCTGGTCGACAAAGCCGACCACCTTCTTTTTCGTTCCGTTAAGGTTGAGCGAGGGCATACTACAAGGAGGGGCAACGATTTATGATGTACACAAGCCGAATATCCTTTGACTTATACAGGGACGGCTTCACACGTGACCCAAAACGTGATTTCAATGAAATTTTACAGGGCCATGATTCTATATCGTACATCATATATGTTGTAAATATCTCTAATGAGCATGGACATAATTTTATTAATTCTCATTAATCTAATGATTAATTAAAATATTTTATTTAAATTATATATTTAGATTTCTCTATCTGCATTATTCTATTTATTTTTTTATTTTTTAAGATGTACCATTATTTTCCAAAATATACTTATTTTGTTGTACTTGTGCTAGTCTTGTGCTTTCTACGTTAACTATCTTACAATCACTTAATACATTGTCTATTATATATTATCATTTTCTAAAATAAATGATAATATTTGAATATTTCATGTGCCTTTTATCTGTTTCAGTAAAATTAAAATTATTCTAAAGAATAATAAAGAATAATAAAAAAGAATATCTTAATCTTGAAATTGACCTATTTCACCTGTCCAATTTATTTATTTCTAGTTCCAATCTTCTTCGAATGAATAAAGCTGATATTTTGTAGTGATTTGTGATTCTGAATTATTTATATTATCAATCTTTCAATGTGCAACAAAATTAAAAATTTGAAAAATTGGAAAATTATGATCTTATTATAGATATAGAACCATCACTCTAATCTTATTAAAATCAATAAAGAGATCATATTCGAAACACCCTGTATTAAATTCACTCTATTGTTTGTTGGAGATGTCCCGAGTGAATGTTTCAAAATATTATTATAAATCATTATAATAATATACTTCAGATTAATATCAAAAGATCAAATGGAGAATTAAAGTTAAAAATCGAAGAAATGAGATTTTAACTCAAATTTTTTAATTTTGGGTTAAAGCAATTAAAGCAATCTGACAAACTATAAAATTATTTATCGATAATTTAATAAGTGTGAAACAGTGACACACTTTCACACTGAAAAATGATGTGGAAAATGTAATTGTTAGACACGTAATAAAAAAGAGGACCATACGTAAACAAAGTAATAAAAACCATCGATCTTGTGGAATTATAGTGTTGAAGTAAAAAAAAAATAAAAATATAAATTAAACATAAAACCAAAGGTCAGCCGATCTGATTGAGCCATCGATCATTCCCATCCAATTGAAAATGTTATTTCCAACAAGACTCTCAACTCGGAGAACAAAACTCTTCCATTAGATTTAACAGCGTACAAGATAAAATTTACTTAAAAAAAAAAAAAAAAAAAAATTCTTTTTAAAAAAAGTTTTTAAAAGAAAATTAAAAATTATATTCAAGAAAGAAAATAAATAATAAAATTCCCGTACATAAATCAAAATGGAAATACTGGGAAAATATTTGCTCATACGTCTTCCATATTGGAGATATAGCTCAAAATCAACATGTCCTAAGTAAACTTACAACGAGCTCTATCCCTTATTTGATCCTTAGTAAGATAATATCTTGAAGTTTCCTCTCGGGACATCTTGATATGTAAGTATCTATATCACGTGTGTAAAAAAAATTGCAACCAAGGGATGAGTAAAGGTTTTCTAAACGAATAAATAAAAAGTTTATGCGTTTAAGTTTTATGATTATGGACAAATTTTGTTATGAATATCTATGTGTATCTGTGTATTATATAAATATCACAAATTATGCTATTCAAAATTAAGGAATCGTATTTCTTGAATGAATTCTATATTATGAATTTGGCAAATTTTGTATTATATATGTGTTTTGTTATTAACTGGTATGAATGATATTACACACTAGAGAAATTTTTGTATCTGAGTAATTTTTAACGAATAAGTAACGACATTCAATAATTATTTCCCATTCCAAATTACACATGCTAATAACAAAATTTGTTAACTTAAAAACAATTCATTTGAGAGAATTCATTTAGTCGAATCCTCTACTTGTTCAGAACAATATATTTGTTACAGTCGAATTTCTGTAACTCGAATCTCAAAGAAAGAAAAATTCTTTTTATTTTTTTTTTTTTTTTTTTTTTTTGGTTATTCTAAGATAAGATAATTCTAATATTTTAAGATCAATCAAAAGTTTCATTTTTTGATGAATTTTGATTTTTAAATATCATATAGAAAAAAATTTATAGAAGATTTTAATTATATTAAGTTCAAGTTAATAATTTATTTTACGATTAAAAGTTATATGTAAAAGTTTTAGAGAAGAAGAACATGTAATAAATAAAATTCCAGTTCTATAAAATTCTTCGAGTTACATAAATTCGATTGTCCAAAAATTCTCCAACAAAAACTTCAAATTTTTTACAAAAAACAAAACAAATCAGGAGAAAAAAATAAAATCATCAATAATCATCAATTACATATTCCCAACTCTTATCCAAATCAAGTGGTACGTTCAACATTGTATTTTCAAGAGCCATCTAGCGGCTCACTTATATTAATATAACCTCTTCAAATCTATACTAAACAGAGTGTTCACAAAAGTAAAAAAACAACTTAATCATACGTAAATTTTTCTCATATATTTTTTATCTTTATGCAAGTATATTGCTTTTTGATGAATGATCTATTATTTTCCTATGTTATTTTTACATATGTGAAAAGATAAAAAATATAAATAAATTCGCAAACGAGTATAACATTGTCCATTTAAGCACCAGCTTAAACTCTATACCAATTCTTAGAATGCTTGGAATCGTCTTCGAGCGTGTCGAATTGAACATTTGACGCTTTGCGGTTTGAGTCTCGAGTTTACCGAGTATCGATATCTCACTCATACTCATTTCTTCTTTCGATTGAATTCACAGAAATCATTTCCACTTAAGCGTCCATATTCGAACATTTAAGTGAACAATATTATAGTTTTTTCTTAATACTTAAATAGCAATATTATATTTTTTCAGTTAAACGATTAATATTTATACTTTTGATGATTTTATGAATTTTTAAACCTAAAAATTTTATTTGAAAATAATATATAAAAAAAAAGACTTTTTCCTAAAATTCTTAAAATTTATAAATTATTATGGATTGTTTATGAATATATAAATTAAATGAATTATTTAACCGGTCGTTTAACACATTCGAGACTACGATATATGCTATGAGTCATAAAATTTTTTTAAAAAAGATAACAAAAATTTTCCTTATATTCAGCTTATTTTTTGCGTTCAATATAAATGTTAACGTTATGTTCTGTAGAATTTTAGATTTTACATTTTTCATTGTTTTACGATTGTTTCTTGTACTCATCGAAAATTAATATCCACGATCGGGATATTAATTTTCTTCTATTTTTGGCATGGTCTCGAACATGTTAAAACATTCGATATGAATAACAAAAATTCTCATGTTTTCTATTCTGTTTTGTTACCGATCATGAAGAATTCTCGCGTTCGTTGTTACCGATAAAGTAAACTATTTACACGGAAACATGCCTAGCCGCTGTCGGTAAATTTAATAACAAGCCCGAAGGACAAGTTTCGTTAACGTTTGCCTTTTTCAAGCAGCGTACATCGAAGAAAAACATCTCTTCCTGCGTACACGCGTCGAACGCACCACTTCATTTGCATTTTGCAGAAAGTCTGGTTTCCTTTCTCCACGTTTTTCCCTTTCAATCCAAGTAATCAAGAGAAAATGACGAACATACGTACACAAATAGACGTACCTGTTCGACTTGGGCGTGACGATGTCTCTCGTCTCGGACGTGTATTTCCTCTCGGCGCGGCCCCCGTTGAAAAGCTCGACGGTCTCCCTGGTAACCGTTTCCAGCAGAGGCTCCCCACCCCTCCTCCCCTTACTGAAAGTCCTTTGATCCGTTTTACGGACCATAACCACCCTCGACAGGGGTTGATTGAATTCATGGCCGTGCATCGTTGGCGGAATCATCGCTAACGACTGCGAGAGGGGCCCTCCGACTCGAGGGGATCTGGAACAGATTCGAAAGGGAAATGAAGGGATTCGTTTCGCGGTCGAATATTGCTTTTCGTGGAATTTTTTTCGTTTTTTAAGTTTTATATCGTTACATAGGTAGAGAGATATTTATCTTTCTTTCTTTCTTCTAATTTGTTCGCCTTCTGTTAAAGAGTTGTTATTTGATTTGAAAATTATTGGAATTAAATGTTGGAAAATTTTGAATACCAATTTATTCATTTCGAAAATTCCTTATATTATTTATCTTTAAATTTTTGATAAAAATTTGAGATTAAAAATAAAATGAAATTTAGCATTGATCGTAAGAAGGGAACGGATAATTTTTTCTTGGCTGAATGAATGGTTCAAGAATCTGATTGAAGACAAAATTGCTCATTGTACTCGTCAATATTTGACGAGATGTTTCAAATCTCTAAATATAATTTATCCTATTAATTTATACTATTCTCAAGAATGTGTATATTACGAGTTTTTTTTTTTGTTTTATCTATTTTTATTTATAAAACTTATTGATGCACCAAGGCTATAATTCAAATTTTTCGCACTTTCGTAATGCGAAAACAAATTACATAAAAAAGGATGAATATTTTGCTTGGTAGATTTTTCAACATATACATTTAATAATAATAATAATAATAATATATAAGGAATTTATATTTATTTAAGAAAGAAATTTATATTTTATTTTATTTCCTTGGAAGCAATATTTTGCAATGATAACAAACGTCTAAAACTAAGACTATTGTTTCAGATAATTGATCCTTCACTTTCTAAACACCAAGAATAATGATACTGTCAATGATGACGCGGCTGTAGGCGGTTAATAACGTCAAATAGAAGAATCAGTGCAATGATAATGTAGTCGGTTCAATTTAAATGATGTGACAAATGATGCCTGACAAATTTATCATTTTTATCGTATTTATCTATATCTATCTTTACATTATATATGCAGTAGAATGTTTATTATCCAAATACTGATTATTCAAACGTATTGATTACTAAAACATTTAGATCTATTATCTAAATGTGGATTCCTCAAACGT